ATTACGAACGAATTTATAGTTAACGATAAAAATCCCTTTTAGTAATAAATATTTAATCAATGATTAGATTTTTTTGGAAATATAATTATTGTGGTATTTTCCAAGATGGCGTCGATCCTCTAAGTAATTTGAATAAGTCATACGAATTGATACAAACAAAATTAAGAATAAATGACTACATTTATATAGAGTATAAATAAATATCTTTCTTATTGATTCAGAAGGATTTGAAAAAACGGAATCTGCGTATATTGGTGGGACTTCGAAAAAAAAAGAAAAAATATAATAAAAATAAAAAAAAGTAAGAGAAAAGAAAAAAAAAGAGAGAAAAATGAGAACTCTGCTCTTTTTACTCTTTCGTTCGAGAATGACGCATCCCTGTGACACAGTTTTACACAATAGAACAGTCAGGCTGCTTTTAACGAGAGGCTTCTGTGTATACCAACTCTTTATCATTCTTAAAGGATGGCGCCCATGCATGCGCGCTCATTTTTAATTGTCGCCGAAAATCCGCAAATCTGGAACGTCTTTCACTTTTATCGAATTTTTATATATAAATGTATGTGTATTTACTTCTTTCTCTCTCTCTCTCTCTCTCTCTCTTTTTTTCTCGTTTTCTCTTTTTCTCTTTTTCTCTCTGATGTATATCTGAAATACTTTAATCATATTTTTCAAATAATTAATGCCAGTTAACAGGAAGGGGGGTAGTATACGAGTCAAAAGTTTGCGAGTAAATTTTTTAATTAATTATACTTTTTCGAAACTTTCCAAATGAAGTTCTTTTTTCGCTTCCAGATCGCGGATAAGAAAAGTTGACCTAAAAGTGGGTAATTGATTTTTTAAAATCACTTTGCAACTTTTGGCTCAAACTGTATTTAGGCGCACACACACACACGAAGAGATCACAAACAAGTTTTGTTAGTGAGAACAACGTGTATCGATCAAATTATGCGCAATAGTGTCTAACAATAGAAATAGTATATTATAAAAAGAAAATAGTACAATGATAAATTTCTTTCTTTTTCTTTTTTTTTTTTTCCATTGTAAAAAAAAATTCGTATTTGTTACTAAAATATTATTAACGAAAGGTGTCGTATGAACGTGAATTTAAGAGAAGGAAAATAATAGTTGATTTTTCTAAATGTTGAATTATTTTGTTTTCTAGGTCCTCTTCGCCATATTACATTATATATAGAAAGAAAGAAAACGTGGCGGATTCGGCAATCACTTGGCTGTGACAACGTGCACAGATTAATAGTTAGAGCAAGGAAATGCGTGAATATAAAATAGTAGTATTGGGCAGTGGAGGTGTAGGCAAATCTGCCCTCACTGTCCAATTTGTCCAAGGAATTTTTGTTGAGAAGTACGATCCTACGATCGAGGATAGCTACCGTAAGCAAGTCGAAGTAGACGGTCAACAATGTATGTTAGAAATTCTAGACACAGCTGGAACGGTAAGTCATAGATGCTCTTTTGTCATACACACATTTAGATATTTCTTTTTTGCATATTTTTCTTCTTTTATTCACTTTAAAACAACCGGTTTTCTTCTCTTATTCTTCTTATTCTTTTACCTTCTTTTATCTTTAAAACATTTACACACTCTCTCTTTCATATGTTAACGCACATGTAAATGTAATAATAGAGATTTTGAATATAATACAATTTATATTTGCTTATTTGATTTGTCTCTTTTCTAGGAACAATTTACAGCCATGAGGGATTTGTACATGAAAAACGGACAGGGTTTCGTTTTAGTATATTCGATAACGGCACAGTCGACGTTCAACGATCTGCAAGACCTGAGGGAACAGATCCTACGAGTAAAAGACACAGATGATGTGCCAATGGTGCTTGTGGGTAATAAATGTGATTTGGAGGACGAAAGAGTAGTTGGCAAAGACCAGGGCGTCAACCTTGCCCGGCAATTTAATTGTGCGTTCATGGAGACCTCTGCCAAAGCCAAGATAAATGTGAACGATGTAAGCTTTTGTTTTTTTTTTTTTTTTAAATCTTTCATTTATAATCAATTTTATTTTTATTTATCTGTTGCGTATCTTGCAGAGGAAGAAAAAATAAAAATAAACGCGGAAGAGGAAAAACAAAAAAACTTTCAAATTATTACGAATTGTATTCAAGTTTTTTTTTTAAGATTTTCTAATGGGAATTTTATGAAAAATTTCTTACATCAGAAGTTAGTGGTTTATGAGAGAAAAAAAAAAAGAAAATAACAGAAAAGCTTACAAACTTGAATACAATTTTTTTTCTGACAAATTATGTACATCAGAAAGTTGTCAGTTTCCGAGGAGAGAAAAAAAATGAGAACTTGAATTTATCTCGCATATCATTAAATTAATTTTATGTACGAGGGAAGTGTGTTCTACAATGATACGATCGATTTTTTTAGGGGACGGAATAGTTTCTTTTTCATAACAAAATTTTATCTTTCATTGTAGACGCAATCCTATAAATCATGTATTACTTGCACGAGAAACACATTTAGATGTTATAACATTATTTCTTATAATTATTATTGCAGATCTTCTACGATTTAGTTCGACAAATCAATAAAAAGTCACCGGAGAAGAAGATGAAGCAAAAGAAGAAATCGCTGTGCCTACTTCTGTAAGATTTTTCTTTGGCAGTGTCCATATTTTCTTCTGCATTGAAATAATATACCAGTGGAAGATGAAAGAGGAACTGGCGGTTATAAAAATACTAGTGACAAGAAGAAGACGAAGAAAAAGAAGAAAGAAAATAAGAAGAGGAAAAAAAAGATGGGGGCTGATAAGATGATAAAATAATAGCAGAGGAACTAAAACAAAACAAGAAGGAGATAATATGACGATGATGATGATAATGATGATGATGATGATGATAAAGATGATGATATGATGATGATGATGATGGTGATTTGGGTGGTTGTAAAACGAGAAAAGACAAAGACGCTACGTAAAGGGAAGAGGAATGCAAGAATTGGAGAGAATCAAGCGTGAATGTGTGCATGTATCTTTGTATGATGTGTCGAGATAGAAAGAGAAAGAGTATGCGTGTATGTGTGTATGTATAAGAGAGAGCGAGAGAAATAGAGAAAGAGAAAGAGAAAGAGAGGGAGTGAGTAAGAGGTGAGAATGAGAGAAGAATGAGAGAAGAATGAGAGAAGAATGAAAGAAAGAAAAATAAAGAGTGTGAGAGGGAGAGGGAGAGAGAGAGAAAGAAAAAGAAAGAAAGAAAGAAAGAAAGAAAGAAAGAAAGAAAGAAAGAAAGAAAGAAAGAAAGAGAGAGAGAGAGAGAAAGAAAGAGGAAGAGTGAAGTGTGTGTGCGTGTGAGAGAGAGAGAGAGAGAGAGAGAGAGAGACAAACCAACGGGAAATATTGTATATATGTTGATCCCGGGTTGGCTCGTGTGCACGCGCAACAATAGCGCACAAAATAGTACGAGAGACCCCCGTGGTATTGGTTATCATTGTAGGAGTTTTGCATTAAAGAAAATAAATAAATAAATAAATAAATAAAAAAATAAATGAATGAATAAATGATTAAATAAATAAATAAATAAATAAATAAATGAATGAATAAATAAATAACGATGAAAAAAAAATAAAATACAAAAAGCAAAAAAAAAAAGAACAATTAATTAATATTATATATTTAGGTGAAAACACAGGAAATAATAAAAAAAAAGAAAAAAAGGAAGAGAAAGGGTTTGAAAGAATAATGAAAGCGGCAAAGAAAAAAAAAACATTGAAGGGAAAGAGATAAGACCAAGAAAGAGAAGAGAAGAAGAAGAAAAGAAAAAGGGATAAATAGACAAAGAAAGAAAAGGAAAGATAAAAAGAAAGAAATAAAGAAAGAAAGAAAAAAAATGTTTAGATGTGCGCGTGCGCAGGCCACAGCCCCCTCCCCCCCAATGCATTGCAACGCTCGCCGCGCACCTCTCTCTTATATAATATAATTATACATAGCCGATACACACAAACATACATACACATACACGCGCATAAACACATACACGTACACTACGATGATGATCTTATTACTATTATTATTATTATTATTATTATATAATTATTAATTATTATTATTATTGCGAAAAAAAAGCATCAGAATATTCATAAGTTATCCGTCGTTTGTTTTTCAAAACAATATATGTTTTTTCTATATCTCTCTCCGTATTAAAAAGCAAGATAAATAAAAAGAAACCTCAGTGAGTGTTACAAAGAGCTCTCGGCTTGTTTGTATATGATCGTCGTCCGATTATAATCAATCGTCTCTCTCTATACTCTTCTCTGCTGCGCGAGTCAGACAACTACTATTTGTGTTAACATCAAAAAAAAAAAAAAAATAATATTAATATTATTATTATTATTATTATTATTACTATTACTATTAATATTAATATTATTATTATTATTATTATTATTATTATTATTATTAATATTATTATTATTATTATTATTATTATTATTATTATTATTATTATTATTATTATTATTATTATTATTATTATTATTAGTTTTAAATCATCGTATAATATGTTATCTCTTCCCTATTTAAAATTGTCAAGCTAATATCATTGTTTTTTTTCCTATGAAATTAATAATACGATGATACAAGGATCTTTTTCTATATTTTTTGTTTTCTTCTTTTTTTTCTTTTTTTGTCTCTTCTTCTTTTTCTTCTTCTTCATAAAAATTTCCTTTTACAAATATATTTTTATGTCTTCCTCGGGAGATGCTTACAATAGTTACACTGGAAAGAATTTTATTTGGTTTAAATTAGAAATGAAGGAAGAGGGAAAATTATAGGGGTATTATTTTTTTTGTATACGCACATTCAATTTTTGTTATACAATGTATAACTTTTCATCTATTAACTTTTTCCTTTTGTTTTTTTTCTTTTTTATAGATATATATACCTTTATTCTTTTTTCTTTTCTTTCTGTTATCCCAATGACATTTGTCAACGTGCACTTAATAATTATCATTAACATTTCTTAAAATAATTTTTGTTTCTCGGGGTTAAAACCGCTTTTACAACGTTTGGTACAATTCCGTTAATTCGGAAGGCACTTCCTTCTGTTGTTTAGGTAAGCAATTTGAATGGTGGACAGTCTGACATATGTTTCTTCGTTCTTTTGCATTCATTCATACGTACATACACGCATACATTTATTATATATTTGTGTAAATGGATAAATTTGTAAGATACAATTAATACATAACTATTAGTACGTAACATGGACGTAATTAAAAATTAAATTGTTTTAAGCCAACGATATCGATTATCGTATTGAATTATAAAAAAAAAAAATGCATAAAACTGTTAATCCGTTCATAATAGAGAACAACAAACGATATTTCTATACAGCGTGCCAAAAATATCACAGTGTATCGAAAAACGATGTCCGCTATTATTAAATTTCTTTCTTTTTTTTCAGGTAAGTCTTACACAATAACAGGAGAATAGAAATTTCGAAAGTTATCGTTCCGTTTCGATAAAAATTTCGAAGAAATCTTAACAGATATGTGTTGTATTCGTTAACGAGGAACCGAAAAAGCAAAGTTACGTATACAAAGATATTACTACAATTAATATTAATAAATGAATAGAGAAAAATTCGGGCCGATATTTCCATCTGGTAGCGGAGCTGGTGACGTTGCAACAATTATCGGTAGCTTCTTCTAAAACTTTCGGATAATATTCGTTCCAAAATGCGAATGCTTTGTAATCGATGACGTTAGGCTCGTTCATGTCGATGTTTCTATCAATAATTAATATCCCAGGATCGTTGATCGTGTATGGATTCCATTTGACGTTGTGCAATGACGGATTAGACGTTTTGGCGAAATTAGCTAACATCATCATCATAACCTCGGACATCTTTTTATCAGCTGGATTCCATTGGACCGTGGTTGTTAAGGGTATACCCCAAACGAAGGGTAGCTCGAACATGTGGGGTACGCCAGCCCATTCGGGTACGTCGCGTACCATAAACTCAGTTTTCGGACGATAGTCGAATCTGTAAACGTAAGACCTTTCCTGTTTAGATAATTCCCCAGCTAATAGGGTCAAACCTGAGGCAAAATTTTTGTCCCTTTGTAACTCGAGATACTTGTCCCTTAATAAACCCTGATCGTCGTTAGGTGGATGAGGTTTATAATAGAATAGAATCGCATCCGACAACATTTCCGGTTTCATTTCGCACGTACTGTTCTCTTCTGGATTACTAATGGCTGATGTTGATTCTTCGATAATCATAGTCTCGAATTTTTTGTCCGACAAGGAACCGTCATCGCTAGACGACTCACTGGCCGTAATCGATTCTATATAAGCCAATGCTTGCTCGTTCTTCGTGTAACCAACGATCAATGGTACCGCATTGAAGTTACCACCAGCTAGTATGTATTTTGGGTGTTCCGGTAAAAATGGTTCGCTACTGTTATTGATCTCGGCGTCAACGATCGGACCCCATGTCTCGATATCCGATGCTTGTTCCACCAAAATCGTAACGTCGACTCGGCGAAGACATTCCATTAATTTAACCGTCGGATGACGATAACAACCAAATTTCTCAGCGATCAGATCGACTATAGGTAGCTCAGTTTGCGGTGAACCTACCGATCCAATAGCATCCCCGCTCATTGCTATAGCTTTAGAAAATTTTCCTCTACTAAGTGGACTCATCATGTGTAAGCCTACGCATATGGCACCCGAACTGTGCCCATAGATTGTCACGTCCGTTGGTGAACCTTCGAATCGTTCAATATTTCCCTTTATCCAATCCAAAGCCGCTATTTGATCGAACATGCCATAATTGCCTGGTGCTTCCCCGTCCGTCGTTGTGAAGAATCCGAGAATATTCAAACGATATGCCACCGTTACCACCACTACCTGCGGGTACCGCAAATTAGGTATGTTTTATTTTACTATTTCATTTTTTATTTATTTATTATTTTTTCTTTTTATACAGATATCGAATACGTTCAATAATCCCTGGACTATATCGATCATTTCATCTTTTTTTTTCTTTTTTTTTTTTTTTAATCAGATACGATCGTCGTAAAAAACAAGAAAACAGAACGAACAATTTGCTTTAATTTAATTATTTTTATCGAATCAAATACTGCCATATTTTTATTTATTTGATTATCTTTCATTTGCACGAATAGTTTTGACGATCGATCGTGCTGATAAGTCGAATAGTAGAATTTCGTGTTAACTTATGACAGAGGTTAAAATCTATCGACCCGTTTTATTTGAAACTACGATTTTAAAGGAATGTACTTGATAAGATGATGATGATGATGATTAATTGATCGGTAAATAATACTATATCCCCAAAATGAATAATATATTTTAATGAGAATTATTCTGACCTTTTGTTTCATGACGAAAATTGAAGCGTCCCAAATTTTCGGAGTTCCTGTATTAAAGTCACCACTGTGAAACCAAACCATTACTGGCCATCCTTCGGTTGGACGTGGTTTGGCTGCATAAATTTCATAATTATTACAACGAGACAAAAAGAAAGAGAGAGAGAGAGAGAGAGAGCGAGAGCGAGAGAGAAAGAGAGACAGGGAAAAAAAAACATCGTGATTTATTTCGTCTTTCTCTTATCTACGTTAATTTATTTTCTCCTTCAGTTGTATGTACACGAAAATGATAAATTACACGTATCCATAAAATCGTATTAAAGTTGACCAACATTTATCTTACGATTTTATTTTTATAATTTGTAATTTAAACAATAATTATAAAAATTATTGTTTTTAATAATTAGTAATTTTTATTTTATTTATTTTTTCTTTTTATTATACGTATATGAGTTTTTTTTTTTTTTCTTTAATCAGATACGACCATTCGTGGAAAGATATAAATAATTTGGTAGATTTTGTATTATTTTTATCGAATCCAGAAATTGTATACTTTTCTTGGTATTATAATTTTTTAAATTATTAGACCATTGTGGTATAATAAATTTTGACAATTACATCGAACATTTGGTTGATCGTCATATATGAAATATTTGGAAATTACTTTTACTCACGGGACTAAGATTATTAATAATAATCAGCAAAATATAATAAATGAAAAGATTAAATAAGGATGATAAATTGACTCTTTCTAATTTAAGATTATCGTTATTATTATTATTATTATTGTTCAGATAATTCGCGATCGTCCTGGAAAATGCATGAACTTTTTCGAAATTACCTCGAAACATGTGAATGAAAAATTATTAAAGAAATGAAACAGTTTTCACAAAGATTAAAAAGGCTCGATGAAACAGTTCTTTCGCGAAATTTGTTAATCATTTTCAACCTAATGTTATTATTATTATTTTTCTTTAAGATATTATTTACGCGAAAAGTGTGTCACGATTGTAAGGGAACAAATGATCTAAAAACTTTGTTTGATATTACTTCGAATCACGTAACGATTATTAAATAACGAAACTTCTTTCTAATTTCAGTTTGTACTTACGTTTATTTTTCGTAATCGTTTGGATTTAAAAAAAGAAAATATTAATCTTCGTGGATATATTACACTGGGACACGCCAAGGAAGATTATTAAGATATAAAAAAAATTAAAAAAAAAAAAAAAAAAAAAAAAAAAAAAATGGTATGTGAATAAAAGTGATCAAATTAAACAATCAAACAACAATGATGATGATTATGATGATGAAGAGAATGAAAGTAATAATGTCAGGCTAATTTGGTTGTTTCAGAAAAACCTTTAAAAAAACAAAAAATATGTACTTTCATTTTATCGTGGAAATTTATTGGCCACATATATTTATAAAAAAAGTAAAAAGTGTCGGAATAATTTAACTGCTGAATTTAGTTTTGTAAAAATTCCTTCACGGGATGCATAATTAATATCAAGACGTGTATAATAATATATCGGTTAAATAACACACAGAGTTTTACTGATTAAAGGAAAATGAACTCTCTCTTTCTTTCTAATGATAATTGGCGTCGCAATGGCGGCGCGTGCTTGTTGATGATAAGAACATACGTTCCAATTCCATTCTGCGCATGGACCCTGTTTGAATATCGTACAATCTAATGAGTCCTCCTCGTGCAACGTCCTGAATTTCTTTTGACCCAACCTTGACACTATCCGGAAGTTTGCGTCACGAATTTCTTTTTAAATACACCCCCATTACACTGCTTCCACCCCTATCAACCCTACTAACCCCTTCTGTTCTTTCGATCGAAACCAATCGATCATAATTTTCTTCTTTTATTTCGTTAATGTTTTTTTTTTTGTTTTTTTTTTATTTTGTTTCGTTTGTGGCTGCATAGTCGTCGTAGTCTCGTTGTCGTTAAGTTTAATAGAACGATCCTAATCTCGACCGATTCTTTCACTTTCGAGTCAACTAATTAAATAAAGGGTAGGAATGGTGGTTTAAATATATTCGAATAATAAAAATGATCTAACGAATTTTTTACCTACACCATTTTCCATTCCCCTACGTGGTTAATGTATATTTAACTTTTGAGGATTGTAAATATTATAAAAAATTATAGTGGTAATAATAATAATAATTATAATAATAATAATAATATTGATAATAATTGTATTAATAATTAATAATATTAATTATAATTATCGTCATTATATAGTTGTAAAAGAAATTTTGTAGTATTATGGATATTGATAATACTTATACAAAATGGTCCACATAAAGTGTTTCAACAAAAGCGTTTTTGCCAAAATCGTTATATATAGATTAATAAAATAAATTAAAAAAAAAATAAAAAAAAAAAAGAAAAACAAATAATTCATATTTATATTATAAAAATAATTGATAATTAATATATATATATATATACACACGTATATATAAATAAGGGTTGTCGCTATTATCGAATAATGTTCATAAGTGCATAATGCATTACACATTTTGATTATATTTAAGTAATGTATAAACATTTTAAATATTTCTTTTTATGGAACAATATTTTGTATAAACATCGATGGAGAATACCTTCAACCGCTAGAAAAAAAAACAAAAAAAAAAAAAAACAGAATAAAAACAATTTCTCGTGGTCGACGACATAAAAATATTGTTTCGCATTGTTGACCGCGCACAGAATAACAAAAATCGATACACAGAAATAATAAATTGGATTTTTGTTAAAAGTGTGTTATAAATATCTCTGTGCTATTTAATTATTAAAAAACAAAAAACAAAAATATTAAAATAATACTATAGAAATTCTCTCAAAAAGATGATTATTAAAATAACATTTTATTTCGGTGTGTTGCATTATTGATCGAGAATAAAATAAAAAATTCCGAAAAAAAATAAATAATACGACAGCTCTAATATAAATAAGCGTGTATAATAAAATGATGACTATTATTAAACAAATATGAACGTTTTGTATTAATCAAAGGTGATATCGGAGTTGATAAAAAAAACAAAACAAAAAAATAGGAAAAAAAAAGAAGCCTGTTTTAGATCGATCGAACTTGAACTTGATTTAATTTTTGAACATAAAGAAAAGAAAAGAAAAAAAAAAGAAAACGCAGGAATAAAAAGAAGTGGAAGTAGAAGAAGAAATAGAAAGAAATAGAAGAAATAAATAAATAAATAAAGAAAGAAATAGGAAAATTTCGTATGGGGGTGGTAAGAGGAAAAACTTGGTTGGTGAATTAAGCAAAAGACGTTTTGACGTGACGTTATCGTAAGAAACCAAGAGAGAGGGCATGTAAGAGGAAGAAGAAGAAGAAGAAGAAGGGCTCGAAGAAAATAAAGGGAAAGAGAAGAGACTTTCGTGACTCGTTCCTTTCGTATCGTATGTCGACATCTCTAGCGACCCTTAAAGGAGATCGCGTGTTGCAGGTTTATACTCGTATGTATCGATCGACATTCATCGTCTAAAGAAAGAGAAACATTGAAGAAATACACATACACACATACATAAACAGGGAGAGAGAGAGAGAGAGAGAGAGAGAGAGAGAGAGAGAGAGAGAGAGAGAAGCTTGTGTCTAACCGTGATTTTCCTACAACTTTCATATCATTTGTCGCGTTCACCACCAACAAACGATCGAAACAGATCATAGTTAGCGCATA